GCTGATCTAACTCAACCAATTAATGGTCAAGTATTTGGTTGGGATCAGGATTGGATTGCCTAGGCCTGAATGGAAACAGTAGAGGCCACGAATACTCAGAGCCAGGAGAACAGTCACCAAAAACCACGGAGGGAAAAATGAGGTTCAAAGCCCAAGAGACAAGGTAAAAGGCAGGAATCAATGAAGGGGCAAAAAGCCAAATGATCCTTAGGTCAAAATGCAAGCTGATCAGAGTCAGCCCCAAAGGACAAAGGGTTTCCAGGAGAACTGCCTCTGCTACTCCTGATTACCTACGGTCCCGTGAAGAAGCTAGCAGGTGTATGATGGCTGGGAAGATGAAAACAGCTTCAAAATCTAAGGCTGGATCTCAAAAAAAATCTGAAAGCAGAATCTTTCTCTTGGTGCAGCAACGGATCCCTACCTCGTAAGAAACAGCATGAGAAGACACAACTGTTATGGTAATTATAAAGGTCACTAATTATCAAGTACACTGGAAGATGTTAACATTTTCATAACATACAATTGGCAAGGAGTTGAGATTGAGTGTCATTTACAAAAACCTTCCACCAAAGGACATCAAGATGAACTGAAATTCAAATCTGGACGGTAGGACAGCCACCTGGAAAATAATGCTGCAAAAGTAGACCTGGCAAGTGAGTCAAGCTACAAAGATGAACCGAACTGTAACCTGCTGGAGACTGTGTACTGCAGGCCACACCCATCTGTGTGCCCGTGGCTGTCAATATCCAAATCTGAAATAATTTCAGTGATGGGAATAAACATTAAATGTTTAAGCAGGTGGTGCACCGCTGGATCAATGGATCCATCTCCCTCCCTTGGGTACACACAATAATAAATGAATAGACCTGGGGCTTCCACCAGCAAGGAGAGTTTGCCTGAAATTGGAAATCAATGATACCACTGTAGTTACAGCACTAGGTTAAGCGATAAATGGAGACTGCTGTCTTTTTTCTAAAACTACTATTATAACCAAAAAAAAACCTAAAGTAAAAGGAAATTTTTCTTATGTTTGCTTTATTTACTTGCAAATATATAAAATAAACTCTTACAGAAGTCCCACGCAATGTGTATACTTTTTAAAAAGAACATATTATCCCAAACTAATAATGTCTCTTAATACTAAATCCAGTTCTTGTCAATATGTCCCTAAAAATGTTTTAGGTTCAGATTTTCAGTTTGTATCTGTACTAAGAAAAAGTGCAATAACTAAACTTCTTGCGAAGGAAGGGAAGATGGAGCTGCAATCAATAGAGTCAGGAGAACCTGTAAAAGAAAGAAAAAGTTTTTCTTTTGGTCTCTATTTTATTATATTAAATATGCTACTCCTGATTACCTACGGTCCCGTGAAGAAGCTAGCAGGTGTATGATGGCTGGGAAGATGAAAACAGCTTCAAAATCTAAGGCTGGATCTCAAAAAAAATCTGAAAGCAGCATCTTTCTCTTGGTGCAGCAACAGATCCCTACCTCGTAAGAAACAGCATGAGAAGACACAACTGTTATGGTAATTATAAAGGTCACTAATTATCAAGTACACTGGAAGATGTTAACATTTTCATAACATACAATTGGCAAGGAGTTGAGATTGAGTGTCATTTACAAAAACCTTCCACCAAAGGACATCAAGATGAACTGAAATTCAAATCTGGACGGTAGGACAGCCACCTGGAAAATAATGCTGCAAAAGTAGACCTGGCAAGTGAGTCAAGCTACAAAGATGAACCGAACTGTAACCTGCTGGAGACTGTGTACTGCAGGCCACACCCATCTGTGTGCCCGTGGCTGTCAATATCCAAATCTGAAATAATTTCAGTGATGGGAATAAACATTAAATATTTAACCAGGTGGTGCACCGCTGGATCAATGGATCCATCTCCCTCCCTTGGGTACACACAATAATAAATGAATAGACCTGGGGCTTCCACCAGCAAGGAGAGTTTGCCTGAAATTGGAAATCAATGATACCACTGTAGTTACAGCACTAGGTTAAGCGATAAATGGAGACTGCTGTCTTTTTTCTAAAACTACTATTATAACAAAAAAAAAACCTAAAGTAAAAGGAAATTTTTCTTATGTTTGCTTTATTTACTTGCAAATATATAAAATAAACTCTTACAGAAGTCCCACGCAATGTGTATACTTTTTAAAAAGAACATATTATCCCAAACTAATAATGTCTCTTAATACTAAATCCAGTTCTTGTCAATATGTCCCTAAAAATGTTTTAGGTTCAGATTTTCAGTTTGTATCTGTACTAAGAAAAAGTGCAATAACTAAACTTCTTGCGAAGGAAGGGAAGATGGAGCTGCAATCAATAGAGTCAGGAGAACCTGTAAAAGAAAGAAAAAGTTTTTCTTTGGTCTCTATTTTATTATATTAAATATCACACCTTATAAAATATGCTAAACCAAACAAGTTCCCAAGTCATGACATCTTATGGAAAATTCTGGTGTCAATGTTGTCTCTCAGAAATAGTGATATCAGGCTCTCAGAGTGGATTTAACTACAATCTCATAAGGTTATTTAAGGAAATGGTTGATAGTAAGATCACCACTAAGACCAGGTGGGGCAAAGGTAGGTTTACAGTTATGAGTACGAGAAACACAGAAGTTGTTCCTGTATTACTATTTATTAACTATTGTATTATTTTCCATACAACAGTTCCAAGCAACTGTAAACCTACTTTTACCCCACCTTGTATACTGAGTTAGTTGTTCCATTTACACATCCGTTCAACAGAGCTGGTGACATCTTCCAGCATATGATAATAACACCTTCTTGGCCTTCATTCTCTTTATCCCAATCGAGCAGCGCTGTGACTAAACCTGCTCTAAGACATGGCTGAGAGAAGGACAGGGCGTGCCAGCCAGAAGCTTTATCTCTGACTAGTGCTTTCTTACTAACCTGAATCAAAAAGTTGGCCCCAGTCACCTCTAAGGATGAGACAACAATGAGACAATGAGATGACAATGACAGATGATACCAAGGGGACAGGTTAGTGGAACAAAAAATATGTCTAATTTTTAAAACAAAATTGGCACTAATTAAAGAAAAATACAAGTTACAATTTATTACAAGCCAGGAGCCTGACAAAGTAGAAAGGCAATTCAGGAAACTAAAAATACGTTGTTTCTTCAGTTGCTATTTTGAAAATCATTTTTCCCTGTATGATAATCCTCAGTAGGACTCAGAATGTATGAGATGAACAAAACCCTTGTTAGCTCTTTTCTTTATTACAAAGTCTATTCTCTACCATTTTGCATATTTTCTCTCTGTATCTTCCTATGACTAATATTAAAAAGCCACATAAAACTTGGATTAATTTTCTGTAGACTTTCATTTTTGTGAAAATTCCAAAGCCTGTAAAGCAATGTTTATAAAATGTTTTGAAAGCATGCATATATCAGTAGTAGGAGTTGGTTAGTTCAAAATGCCCCTATTATTAACCACTTAATTTGTAAATAGATACATCAGTTTAGTTTGGTTTTCTTTTTTTTTCTTTGTTCTTCCAATCCATACAGATTCTCTGAAACGCGCCCGCGCGCGTGAGCGCGCACACGCAGGGGGAGGGGAGGGTGGAAGCCCAGTCACTGTGTGTTTCCTGTAGCTTCTGTATCAAGACAAATTAAAAATGTGGACACCAATATGCCACCTCTTATAATATGGTAATTTCATTCATAAACATTCAACTGTTGTTTATTGAGCCTCTACTATGTGCTGCTACCACTGGGCACAGAAACGAAGAGACAAAACTGTAATCTGGCAGCAAGTCATGTGATCCCCCCTCCCTTTTTTTCTTTCAGTTAAATACAGTTGGAAAGTGAAAATATGCATGTAAAAAGCTGGAGATAGAGAATGTTTCCATTCCCCAAATTCCTCTTGGTAAAAGCCTGGTACGTTTTAGAAAACAAAATACTTGGAAGAGTCATTTTAGTGAGATTTGAGACACCAGAAGACAAAGTCAAGTAAAATATTTTCATTCAAGTGTTGCTAAGGATCAGAGGTCAGTTCAAAGTGGCCCTTTGTTTGCTAGGTCCTGGGACAGATGAGCAAGCCCACCAGGAGTAGTAGTGAGAGAGCCCATGGCACTGCCTACTAGAGGACAAGGGAGCTTGAAAACCTCTGGAAAAATTCAAAGTAAGAAAGAGGCTGTGGAAAACAGTCTGGAGTTTCCTCAAAAAATTACAAATGGGGAGAAGCAAGATGGCGGCGATATAGGCAGACTCGTTCCAGGTCTTGTCCCGGAGCAAACGGAGTAAGCAGCTCAAGGGCGGGGGAAAAAAGGACACATATGTAATACACTTTGTAATACTTTAAGCAATAAAAAAATTAAAAAAAAAATCTTCCTAAATAAAGCCTTAAACTAAAAAAAAATAAAAATAAAAATAAATTACAAATGGAACTCCTATTTGACCCAGTAATCCCACTTCTAGGAATATATCTTAAGAAACCTTAAACATTAGGAATATATCTTAAGAAACCCTAAACACCAATCAGAGAGAATGTATGCAGCACAATTTACAATAGCTAAGATCTGGGAACAGCCTAAGTGCCCATCAGCAGATGAGCGGATGAAAAAGCTGTGGTACATCTATACAATGGAATACTACGCTGCTGTAAAAGAGAAAGAACTCTCACCATTCGCAACAGCATGGATGGACCTGGAGAGTATTATGCTAAATGAAATAAGCCAGTCAGAGAAAGATAAGTATCACATGATCTCACTCATTTGTGGAATCTAATGAACAACATAAACTGATGAACAAAATAGATCCAGATACATAGAAACATGGAACAAACTGATGAATTTCAATAGATGCCAAAATCCTCAACAAAAGATTGTTGTGGGGGGGAGGTAGTGATCAACCAGGAAGCTTATATGCATATATGCATAACCCATAGACACACACAATAGTGTGGTGAAGGCCTGGGAGGGGCAGGTGTGGGGTGGAGAGAGTCAATTGGGAAAAAAAGAGGGGAACATCTGTAATCCTTTCGACAATAAAGATAAATTTTAAAAAACAGAATGAAGAAGAAAGAGGATCCAGAGAAGGGGAAGCAAAGAAAGAAAGCAAGAGCAGCTGAGTCTCGGTAAAGGCTAGACCAAGGAAGAAGTTCAGTGAACATGTATATGTACCTAGTATAACATATGCTTATGTTCCTTAGCATATGTTCCTTAGCAATTCCTCTCCTACTCAATTCCCCACCCCCACCCCACACATCCTCTTTCATGTCTTCAGTAAACACTACAAAATATATACACACACACAAATCCTTGGTGTGTATTGGATTTGTTGGCAAAACCAGAATGTACACAATGTTCCAAATCTGGGTTGAGGCAGCCTGAAACAGATCAGGGTGTGGCTGAGGGGACAACTGACATTGGGTTAGTTACAAACTCAGAACCTATAAGTAAAGCAGATCCAGTTTTATAGGAGCCTAAAGTAATGCAATTTAAGAAATAATCCACAAAAATACAAAGTTAGCTACAGGGTCTTGGACGGAGCTCATAGAAGTGATGGGTACCAAAACTAAAACCTCTTTTTCCTCAAAGTAAATCCAACTCTGCCTGCAAGTCAATCGAATTGTGGGGACTTTTCCTAAAATAACTACAAATATTGTTTAAGACTTCTCTTCCCAAAAGAGGAACCTCAGAACTCTGGATATAGTGGAGAAAGGATGGAAATATATGAAAATAACATTGTTTGTAACGTTAATATTTATCATTAGTTATCTTAATCATTGCTTATATACCCATCATTGACATTCTTTAATTAAATGCATGTCTGATTATGTTACTATAATCAGATAGGAGCAGTTTATGTCATTACATTTAAATGCATGGTAATTCCTAGTGTCAAGGTAAGTATATATAGAATGTTGATTGCACTGGTTTTCAGTTATTCTTGTTAAGATTTGCAGGTAATCTGCATTAATTATAGTGCATGCTATTATTATAATATGGCTGTAAAATGAGCAGGAAGTAAATTGGGTGGTTTTCCTTAAATTCTCTAAATAATGAGAGACAGTGTCTGAGAAACAAGATGTCATTATTGTCAGCTTGCTTTGACCATCCAAGTTTTCCTAATCTATGTCTTTCCTTCAGCTCAGTGCTTTTCCTGTCAGAATTTTTACTGAGAATCCATACAAAAGCATCAGAAAAATAACATAATAGCAAATCAGAAGAAGTAGATTTTTAATCTACATATGCTCTTTCTACCTGCATTCATGGTGACTTTGTGTCAGATGATAAGGCTCAAGGGGTAGCAGGAAATAAAACTCCATTTGATGGAACAGGGGATGCTAGTCCAGTCTCCCACCCCCTTCTCTTGGCATCAACCTCCTCTGAAGGACCATACCCTTTCCTGCTCTTCTAGTCCCAGAGGGCTGTCTCAAGGGTATTGAAAGGGGGGCATGTCACCCAGGTCAAACCAACTGGACTTTCTTTCCTGGGAGGCTGCATCTATCTATAACACTGGAAAACAGATGGAAACCATTGAGGCTGAGTTTTTTTAAGGTCACTGTCCAGAGAACACACTGTCAGTGAATTTCTGACAGTTCCCTGGAGCTGTTCCAGCTCCTGTCCTTCCAGAGACTTGAGGATTCAGTAATTCCTTGGAATCTGTGAGCTATCCAGAATCCTTCCTACAAAGTCCTTATATGCTTAAATCAGAAAGCTGGTCTCTGTTGCTGGCAACCAATATGCCCTAACATGGGGAGAGAGGTGTTGACCTCCATGTAGAAGGCAGTCTAGCACAGAGTTCATGGAGTCTCACTCTCTGATTTTCCAGTTGTGAATCTCTCTATAAATCTCGGGGCTACATTGGAATGAAATCTGTAAACAGTCTTAAAGTAAAAATCTCACCCCCCACCCCCACCAAAAAAAAAGAACCTTTCATGCAAAATTTAAAAACATTTAGTTCCTTTCATACAACCAAATCTACCATAATAGCTCTAAAAACATAAGAAAGATGCAACATGAAAATAATAGAATCTTATATGGAAATTCCCAAAGGAATACTGTACTTTCAAATGTTATAAGACTAGATGAATTTTGGGGTTGAGAAAATATCTCTTATGGTTTGAGACATCACTGAGATTTTTCTTTCAATCTTCTTTAAAAGGAACTAATTTGCAAGTTTTCATTCACTCCTGAAGGACTTTGAGTTTAAAAATATTCGTTAAAATTAATTAATTTCTTAAATTAGTTAAAAACCTTTTGGGCAGGTTTGCATCTATGTGTTTGTATGACTCCAAAGAGATTAATTTTGACACATTGAAATTAGAAAACAATTACCTCTGATAGTGGCCTAAGTGTTTTCTCAACTTAAACAACAAAACAAGAGGATACTAGTTACAGAGAATTGTCCAAGTGCAGCATTTTCCTAATGTTTTCACTGCCAGCCTAAGAGGTTACAATAAGATATTCACATAGGCACAAAGGGAGGGAGCCCTCCATGGAATCACTCCGAAGAAATCCCTTCTATATTAGCTCATGATGGAGAAAGGCCTTTCTCTCCCCTGACCAAGACAGGACTTTAATTCAACAACTGCAGGGCATCTGCTCTACTGTCTTCAGTGCAAAATTTCCAGAGTTGGGCCAAAAGTATTTCTAGACTTGCTTATGAAAACACTTAAAACAGCAAAGTAAATCTATGTGCAATGTAGAATTATATGAAACTAGAGGCCCGGTACACGAAATTCGTGCACTGGAGGGAGGGGGTCCCTCAGCCCGGCCTGCACCCTCTCGCAATCCAGGACTGCTGACTCCTAACTGCTCACCTGCCTGCCTGCCTGATCACCACTAACCACTCTGCCTGCCTGTCTCATCACCCCTAACCACTCACCTGCCTGCCTGATCACCCCCAACCACTTGCCTGCCTGCCTGATCACCCCCAACCACCTCTGCCTCAGCCCCCCCCCACCTCGACTTCGTCTTGAAGGACGTCTGGAATGACATGCGGAAGGTTGTTTTGTTGTCCGGTCTAATTAACATATTATGCTTTTATTATTATAGATATTCCCAAATTGATAATCATTACAAAATAACCTTTGACTTTTTCTGCTTGTACTTCTGAGTAATTCAAATTAGGAACAAGCTCTGTCAAAAATCGGTTTATCTGATCTTTTAGAGATTACTTACCAACCATATTTCAAGCCAGGGTGAGGGAGCGGAAAGCATATGGTTTTAGCAAGATTGATAAATGTCCAGATAACATTTGCTGATACTAAGATTATGGAGATAATGAGTACTGCAGTGTCAAAGAGAATTGCATATGATAAAAGCCTTGGTGACACCCACTTTTAAAATCAAAGGTGAAGTGGAAAATTAATTGGGTTTTATTAAGATAGCAATGTGAGTTATGAGCTAGGGAGATTACCTCAGAAAATACCATTTGTTGTTCACATCACAAAGATGGTTCATCTAGCCATGTTTCCACATGGCCCAGCTCTGGGAAAGAAGCTCAAGTTGTTTCTCTTCAGTCAGGTGTTAGGGTTTGTTCTCCCATGTCCCACGTACCCCTGGGGGTTCAAGGGCCTAAATTCCTGCTTTTGTTTTTATTCTGTAGATGGGATTGGGAATGCCATTGGAACTTATAACTATTTTGGTTCATTACAAAGGAAGATCCATATTGAGGGGTCCAAACACACCATGCCCTCAATGGTGCTCACATGGAAGAAGTTGACAAATTCTCCAGGTTCCTCTGCTCTTCTTCATGCATCTCTCCAGGACTATTCCCACAAACCTCCACAAGTACTAAAATTCATGCATACTCCTCTTGCACCACCCACCAATGCTGACCACAGGAATCTAGTCTGACGAGGCCCTTTATTCCTTTTCTTCCCTGGTGTGTGTGTGTGTGTGTGTGTGTGTGTGTGTGTGACCCACCAATGCTGACCACAGGAATCTAGTCTGACGAGGCCCTTTATTCCTTTTCTTCCCTGGTGTGTGTGTGTGTGTGTGTGTGTGTGTGTGTGTGTGTGTGTGTGAACCTGTTTCATTTCTCCCCTAATAAAGCTTTGCCTTCCTATAAATGAAATGTGCTGGGATCATAGTGCACCCCAAACAATCTGCCTTTACCAGCAGGTGGGAACAAAGTTAACATCTGAAATCTTCAGAGTTCTAGGTGATTCGGGAGCATGTAGGTTGGGCCAAATCCTAGTGATGTGCTCACCAGAGAATCTGTACTTGTTCTTTCAGGATACTCTCCTTTCTCCCAGCATCACTGACCTCACCCACTCTATCTAACCTAGATGGCTTGGTCCCAGTGTAAGCATGGCTTTTCTTGACAGTGGAGGAGTTTTAGGTAGTTTTTGTTCAATAAGTGTGAGAAGCTGTCCTTGCCTAAAGACAGAGAGAAGTATTGGTGAATCACCAACTCAATCTCCTGGCTTTCCATCTTCTTCCCCAAAGTCACTGAGTCTCTGAGGTGTGGACAACTAGTTTGAGAAGTAGTCTTTGGCTTCACATTCTGGACCCTCCCTCGTCCATACCCCCAGCCCCTCCCATAGATCTCCATGCTTCAACATCTTAATTCCTGTCTTTAAGATCTCTTCCTTGCCTACTTATGAAATACAATCTCTTCCTTCAAAGCAGAGATCTTCCTAATAAGCCTCTATTCTTCTCATGTGAGATCATACAGCATTCCCTTTTCAAGAAGGGATTCAATACATACAGCCCCTCTGTGTCTGCATTTGGGGTCTTTCCCTGTCCATCTCTTTCTGTGATATACTTTCAATCATGGGCTTATGATAGTCTTTGTTCCAAAATCAGCAGGGAGTTCTGAGAATTTGCTTCCTTGCCACACATCATTTTTCTCACAGGGTCACAGCTCTGATTTCAAGCAGACTTGTTCCAATTCTCATCTGGGATTACATTAGTTTGCAGAGCAGATGTGCCTTATACAGCGATTCTTCAGAATTCTAGACAAGTGTCCATGTGGAAGGGATATGAATTTCAACAATCACAAAAGGTGTATGTGCAGAGGTAGAGCTTCTGCTATACTCCTTAACTAATCCATCTTACATACTCTGTATCTTCTGCTCAGGCAGAAAATAATGTTAGAAGGAATGTTTCGGTCTGAGTTGTGGCTGAAGCCCCAAAATAATAGATGTCAACCATTCCACATTTCCCTTCCCACAGCAATGGAGGTAGTGCAAAACAAACAAACAAACAAACAAACAAAAATTGGTTATGAGAATATTGACCCCTAGGGAGGAGTATGGATTCTTTCTTGTCATCTCTAATCAAGTGAGAAGAGCTTCAGTGGACCAGTCACAAGCTTCCCGTGCACAGATGGAATTAGGAAGGTTCAACTAAATTGTGATCTCTCATAACTTTCTTTGCACTACTGTCCAGCAGAGAGAGAAAACGCTTATCAATTCTCACTACCTTAGATGGACTCTAAGGCAAGCCCCACAGGTTATCTGACATTTCTCAGCTAATGTCCTCCAGTCATGTCAGAGCTACCTAAAACAAACTTGTTCTAGTCATTCATGTGTGGTCCACTATAATAACTAAAAATCCAAATTTCACTGAGAGCGAAAGTTTCTGTCTCTCCTCATCCACTATAATAACTAAAAATCCAAATTTCACTGAGAGTGAAAGTTTCTGTCTCTCCTCACTCTAGCCCAGCCGTGGGCAAACTACGGTTGAGAGCGAAAGTTTCTGTCTCTCCTCACTCTAGCCTATGGAGGGTGGAAGACCAGCAATGAAAAAAGAGGGAGATAGTTGGTTCTTTCTTCTTTATATCTGTCATCATCTTCCGGAACACACCCTACATGCTGGCTTTAGCTTTTTACCCCTTAGGACTTACAGCATAGAGAGGGAGAGGAGCTAAAGACAGGAAAAGTGTTACTCAGTCTGGAATTGGTTTCCAAAGAGACTGGTAGGTGTTTAAAATGGGTCCTTTCTCCTGTGGGTGTTTCTTCATAACCTTCTTGGCAGCATACTGTATGCCAGTCCTACGTCATCATCTTCCAGAACACACCCTATATGCTGGCTTTAGCTTTTTACCCCTTAGGACTTACAGCATAGAGAGGCAGAGGAGCTAAAGACAGGAAAAAGTGTTACTCGGTCTGGAATTGGTTTCCACAGAGACTGGTCGGTGTTTAAAATGGGTCCTTTCTCCTGTGGGTTTCTTCATAGCCTTCTTGGCAGCATACTGTATGCCAGTCCTACGTCGGTTTGCTCTCAGATCCATCCCTTACACTTCCCCTGCTGTGTATTTCAGTAGAGCTGGCTTCTTTGGGTTTGCCCCATTGGAGGCACTGAATGGGAATTAAAGATGGAAGGAAAGGAGGAGCCAGGGTTCTCCTCGTGTCCCTTCCCCTCCGGGGGCCTCTCTGTCAGTGGCTGTGCTTCCTCGGCAGCCCAGCTCCTCCTGAAGAGCCCACTCTGATTCCACCTTCTTTCCAGTGGTCCCAGGCCATGGGCTCCAGCAACACCACCTCTCACTTTATCCTCTAACCTCAAGGTGCAGTGACTTCCTGTCTCACCCTTCTCTGAATTATTTCTCTATCCCCTATCTGTCATCTCTATTTTTAAAAAATCCCCTATAATAGCCCTGGCCAGGTGGCTCAGTTGGTTGGAGCATGGTCCCCTACACCAAAAGGTTGTGGGTTTGATTCCAGGTAAAGGCAGATACCTAGATAACAGGTTTGATTCCCTGGTCTGGGTTGTACAGGAGGCAATGAATAGATGTTTCTCTCATCTCTCTTTCTCTCTCTCTCTCTCTCTCTCTCTCCCTCTCTCCCTCTCTCAAAATCAATTTTTAAAAAACCACATATCCTCAGGTGAGAATTTTAAAAAATTCCCTACAATAAATTTCCCTCACTGTAAAGACTTTCAGGTGTTTCTGTTTTCCTAGTTAGACCCTGATGATATACCCCAACCACGTACACAATGCATCCCCCGCTACTGGGGACCTCACCTTCACTTTCCTGACATGGGAGTGTACTTGGCTAATCACTTGAAGTTCCTCTCTCCATCCCTGGTCACTGAGGACACCTGAGCATCCTTCAGTTGAGGCTTTCTTCCCCGGAAAGTGCATCCTGGATGGAATCTAGGATCAATTGCAGGCACACGTTCTAGATCTGGTCCTCAGGAAAAAGACACCATAGAAACTGTCAGTATAAATCTAGTTATTTCCTGGCTAAGCCTGGCATGCCACCCATCCCCAACGCAAGCTCTGAGACAACGGCTTCTGTTTGAGCACTTAATGTAGGAATGTGATCCCAAAGTACGTAGGCGAGTGATGAGGGAATGAAACAGATGCCGTATCAGTTTCCTACTACTGCTGTGTCTTAAAACAACACAAATTTATTATTTTATAGTCCTGAGGTCAGAAGTCTGAAATCAGTCATATGAGCTAAAATCAAATGTTTATAGAGCTTTTGGGGGGAGAGCCTCTGAAAGTACAATCCACCCCCTTGTTTTCTGAGGGTTTGTTTGTTTGATTGATTGATTGATTTTTAAATTCTAGAGGCTGCCAGTATTCCTTGGCTCATGACCCCTTTCTCGCATCACTCCAGCCTCTTGCTTCTGTCCTCACACCTTCTACTCTCTCTAACTCTACTACCCCCTCCTTGTAAAGACCCTTGTGATTATATTTGGCCCATCCAAAGAACCCAGGATAACCTATCCATTTCAAAATCCTGAACTGTATCACATCTGAAAAGTCCCTTTCACCATGTAAGATAACATATTCACAGATCCAGAGATAAGAACGTGGCCATCCTTGGGGTGTCATTATTCAGCTGGTTTGTTTCCTTTTCTCAGGCATGAGGCCGGCAATACTGCATGTTTTCTTCCTTAGAACCCTTCCCACTGGGCTTCAATTGAAAAGGAAGAGCCCCCATGGCCACATCTCATGGGGGAAGAAAGGGGAAGAAAGTGCAGACCTTTCAAAAGCCTAAAAAGGAAGAATCAGAATATATCACTAGTGACTGCCACAAG